TTTCTCGTCTTCCTTCGCCATCTCGTCCTCATTTTTAATCATCTTTTTTACGTTTTCTAATTTTTTCTTCTTCATCTCTGCCTTCTCTTATCCCTATACGCATATACACATATGTTCGCGGTAATCGTTAATTCACCGTCATCGTTTATTATTACTCTTTTTTTTTCATTTTCGTATTTTTAGAACGGCTTATCGTTAGGCGTTCACGATAACACGGTAGTAGATACTCATTCCTATCCCTCGTTTCTCTTCCTCCTTTATTTAACGCCGTTCGCTATTCGTTATACCACTAATACTCGGTGTATTATACTTCAGCTAAGAAACGTTTGGTATCGAAGGGAAAGACGGCTCCGCGCTTTTCCTCCCTTTCTTTTTAAATATTTCCTACCCTATCTCAGTTCCTTCGAAACTCTACGCGTGACCGATCCGAAGAACCGAAAAAATTCGTTGATCAACTCTAGCCTTGGATGGGTATTCTAGTCATGGTTTCTGTCTCGTTTCCGTGATTCTCGTTTTCCTTTTTTCCTTCCTCTTTCTCGATTTTCATTTTCGCCCCGAGACGCGGACGAACCATTCTGGACGAATCGAGAAACGAAAGAGAAACGCGGTGTTTCTGCGAGAACTGGCAGCGATCGGGACGAATTCTCAACTCTTCCCCACAGGCTGATCGTCGGAAGGTTCTAAAGATCACGGAATCATCGGTTCGCCCACGCTCGAGGCAGAGGCATCGAATTTCACGTGAACGGAAAAAATTAGTCGAAAAATCGCCTACCCGAGTAGGATCACAATTGAAAAACGTTCCCGTGGTCTTAATCACGGGGCTACTGAACCACTTCAATGGACATTTCGTTTAATTATTGTACTTAGTTTTATACATGCACGATACGACCGTACGTAATTCTCGAATTAGTTTCATCTTTATCTAAACCCTATGTATGTACATATGCTAGATGGGCACGGAGGAACTCGTCCGTCTATTATCAGTTTCCTTCGTCGCCTGTCGTGCATGGTAATTCGCCTATCGAACGTTTCGGCGTGAAAAATAGAAATGGGGAAAAGGGGACAGTAAGGAAAGGGGAAAACGAAATGAACGCGAAGAAAGCGTCCGATGAAAACTCGAACGAAAACCGATGTACGTTTGGAAGAAAGGAGAGTTACGTGTCGTGGGGCAATAATTTCGTTCCGTATGACTAGAACCTCGATAACGAACCAGTGAAATCGACATTCGACTAAAAGGAATGCTAGGGAATGTGTAGGTGAAAGAAACGAAGAGCGTTTAAGAAAAAGAAGGAGGGAAATGGAAAGGAAAAAGACGATTTCCGTGTCACGTTCGTAGACGTATTGCCCTCTAACGATTTGAAAGTTGCCTTCCCAACCTGTGAATCGCCACCCCCGTTAGGATGTGTCTTTCCGTAGGGCCATTTTCATAGAAAATTTCGTCACGAGCATTTTCCAGCTTATTCTGTTAATTTAGTCTAGTTTAATTTGAATCGTTAATGCTTTGTTTGCTTTTCGTTCAATATCATCGATTGATATAATTAGAGGTAACTAATATAGAGAATAGAAACGTGTATGACCAGTTCGATTATAAGTTAGGTTAAAATTATACTTGGGAGATCCTTTTCTTTGTTTTATTAATACTATCAATGCTATTAAATGTAACGCGTAACTAAATACAGTATACACGAATAATAATAATAATTAAAGAGATATTACGGAGGCAAATAAATATACATAATCGTGTCTTTGTTGAAATAAAAATTGCCGCACGTTTATGGTAATTATAAAAATCAAATATTTGAAAGCAAGTATTTTGACTGGTTTAATAATTGTAATATCGAAAGTGCTATTTTAAAGCAGGGGTGGTAGATTGTTTGGCTGTTGTAGAAGGGGTGGCGACTGACAGAAGGTTGGGAAGTACTGATGCAAAGATTTCTCGGTACTCTGTAACTCGTTTCCATTCTCTCTTTCTCTCTCTTTCGGCAACATTTCTACCCTATGTACACGAGTAATTTACAAGTGTCGAACTTTCGCTCGTGGATCTTTCCCCTCTAATACCAACGGCAACAAAGGAAACGGAAGAAGAAGGTACAAGGAAAGGGGGAACGAAGAGAAGAAAGAAAGAAAGAAAGAAAGAAAAGAAAGGAAAGAAAGGAAAAACGTAAAACGTCTCTGTGTACGTGTGTGTATACATAATCGTACGTATCTAATATCTCCATTGATTTTTCCATTTTTTTTTTTTTT